TTAGGATTCTCAGAAGCAACGGTGGGGAACGGACTCAGGGATCCAGCCTTGAAACAGGATTGAAATTAGGTGTGCAACGGTGAATGCACAAATAGCATAGCAGTAAACAAGCAATCTATAAATCACTAGACAATTACGCTTAAGTATGCACAACACATGGGAAAATGGTCGGTCATCAATGTCGGGGGGGATTGTGAGAAAGCTGGGGTCTTTGGAAAAGTCGTTTGGGTTCCAAGTATGCGATATAATTATCCTCTTTTGCAGATTTTTTAGAGCATGCGATAACCTCGCAGGAAGTGCTCAGGCCAAGTATTCAAGAAAAGTAGTTGGTGCGTGATACAAAGACGGTCTCCCAAAACAAATTGTTTTATTTAATTCCGGACAGAGAAAGCACATCATAAGAGCTGCGAAGAAAGTGGGATCGTTTAGATGCTGGTGGTGAAGGAATTATGACTGGAACCCATTAGTATCATTAGGGACGTGGCAAACACCAGTGGAAACTGACATTCTTGCGATGCAAACTGGGATATCATTTGACACTAATTGATGCCATCGCGCCCACTTTTGCGCCATTGCGATCAATGAGATGGCATCACTTTGTGTCAAAATGGCATCACAGTTGGCATCGCAAAGATGGCGTTTTCTGATAATGAAACGCAGGGAAATGGCGTACAGGAGAGCGCTGAACATGAACCGCATGGGCAGCTGTGGCTACGAGACTGTTGTGGCGAATTGCTGTGCAATTCGTGGAGAAAGTTCCCACAAACTGTACAGTATAAAATGGTGATGCATAGCACAAGTTGTAAGGGAGATTACCCTGTACCATTTGGCTCTCCACGAGGCCGATCCGGCCATGTGTTCGCAGCTGGCTCAGGGGCAGCTTCCTCTCCCCGAGGGGGAGCTCTTTTGCAGGGATAGGCGCGCCGTTGCAAGCAACAACCTCTTACGGCGGGTGGCCGTCCGAGTGCGAGCTGCAAGAGTTCGCGCCAAGCCGCAAAGTAGGGGGGAAGAGAAAATGCGCTGTTACAATGTGTTGGGTAGAAGGCAGATTGGAAACAATATATTTGTATATGGGGCCCATCTTATTCTGCTGACAAAGGACTATTCCAGGATATGTAAAATGTCAGACAAGGAAGCGTATTAGGTGGGTCGACCGGAGCCAGAATGGGGACAACTTGCCAGCTCAACATGTGAATTACATATTAGACCATAAGGAGGGAAAAAAACAGTGTACCTCGACCCTTTTGATTATAAATAGCTACCTTCGACAAGGACATCGCAAAATCATCCCGTCCCTCGGCTGAATTTTCCAAAGAGAGGCAAAGTAAACGGCTATTGCGTCTGCATTGCGGACGCTTCTGGGGATGTATTATTCCGCACACATGGTCTAGGAGAACACAACTATTATAAATCCATTAGAGGCCCTCTTCAAAACTCGGTGAAAATTATACGGAAATCTGAAAGTATCATTTGAAATATATCTTACATGTGATAGATCGAATGTAGAAATACATCACTAATGCCGCAGGATCTAGAAATACATGGATGGGGGACAGAGATGTGCGATGGGGAAATTTAAGAGGGGCGCCCTCTTCGACAACCTTCCGCAAAGCCAAAACTCTGCACCACGAGCAACAACGGGTTTGGTCAGTACTTTGCTACGCACAGCTAGCTTGCCGCTGCTCAAGAGTGCTGATTCTGTGTTGGCACATATTGAGAGTCAGGTGTGCATGTCAATAGCACAGATGTCACTGCACTGCATTGCATTGTTTCGTTTATTGCGTATTGGAGCCAATTGTACAATAGCTCCCCATGCACGCGCCAAGTGAAGTGAGCTTGTGTTGTTCCTCGTGAAATGTAAGCCCTTGGGCTCAGTTCAGCACGCTCTGCTTGCCAGCTAAGTAGCAGCAAGGAAGCCATAGACCAGAACCTTCATGTGTAGCCAGATGCGAACTGGTGTTAAAGTAGGTCCAGCCGACGGGCCACCGGCAAAAGTTCACGTTGCTGGGCAGTCTCCTATTCATGGCCAAACAAGCTGTTGAAAATATTATGTAAGTAATGAGATTGTCTAAACTTTTTTACCTATGCTGGACGCTAGATGTTAAATCTCTGAGAAGAGGTACAACCAGCGCTGCCTCCCGGAGCAATTGAAAACAAAATACCTCCCCGCGAACTTAGGCGCGAGCGCACCAGCCGTTGGCCTGTGCATCATAATCAGAGCGGGGAATCCCCGCGGGGCCCAGTTTCGCGATCCGGGTCATCACAAAGTCTACGACAACCCGTTCCTTGTCCTGCCTTTAAGGCGTCATCGACGGCGATTGCACCGGAATGTGCGTTGAGCGCCTCTTTGATAGCATCACGTAGTACTTCAAATTTGGGCGCTTGGAGCACCTGATTCTGCCTAGGACACTAAGCATCCCGGAACCTAATCTACATGCGCTTGGCTAGTCAGGCCAACGTGGTCGGTAGAGTAACGCAGTTTCCACCATACCGAAAAACCCATTCCCTTCCATGCAGCTTTGCCTTCTTGCAACCGGCCCCACCTGGGAGGCAGAAGTGGGAGGTGACCGAAAGCGGATAATTCGCTGGACTGTGCCCATTTCCATGCATCCTGTATAGCAATTCTCGGAGACTCGCTGGCATGCCCAAAAAGAGCACACTGTGGAAGAGAATTTTTCATTTGTTCGTTAGACACCGGGCTTCTTTGGATAATATTATTCTACTGGAGAAGACAGTACGTCCATCAATTTAGTGAGCAAGGGACGTTTCTCAGCTGCGGACAGGCGACAAAGGTGGAAAAGAGGGCAACTAGTGAATGGAAGCTGGCTCCAAAGTTTGCAGACCAAATACGAACTTCAAAGGGCACAGCCCAGCAAGGGTCGACCATCAGCGTGAATTGTCTCACAATTCAGTCCAAATTCAAATGAATTCAAAACAATTTAAACTAATTTGGTGCCCAAAGTCCAGGATATTCAGCCGCATCTTTGAGCTCACAGACGGGGCCTCGAGGCCCACGAGCTCCCGGAAACCCCTGCCGCCAACGCCCCCACCCTCTCAGTCTTCGTCTGCATGCCCCTTGTGCTGTCCATGCTGCTGACGGCTATGATGGCAGGCGGCGCTCGCAACAGCCTGGAGATGCGCTTGATGTGTGGGATCAGTCCGGCAGGGGGCTGTGGGCCCAGCAATGAGCACGCGCTGCTGTGGACGTTCTGCAGCGAGTGCGCCCTCCGCCAGAAGGCGGTCATCCACAACAACGTGGTGCGCGTAGTGCGGCGGGGGCCAGACGCCTTGTCCGTGGCACCGGACGGAGCTAACATGTCTTCTGGAGAATACTGTAAAATATTCAACCCTTCAGCATCAGAAATTCTCAACGTTGCGCTTTTTGCTCCGCATTTTGTCTTCCAAGGCGTTACTCTAGAATTTTTTACGTTCTCCCGCAGAGAAAGGCCAAGATTTGCGTTACCATTTACATTATTTCCTTCGCAGAAAAGGCCAAGTTTTACGTTACTATGCGGAAGGGTTTAATATTTTATAGTACCGTTCACGTCGGTCACGTGGGACGCCGGCCCTAGTGCAGCACATCATAAGACCAGTGGACGTGGCCTGGCGCGTTCGTGCTCCGTCGTATGTGTATTAGGGGTCGAGTTGACCTGGTGACACAGCGTTCTGGTTTTGCAAACCTCTCAAAGCATTCTGCGGCTGGTTGTACCAGCCGAATCGGAGAGTTAGCGACGTGCAGAGGGATCTACGGTCAGGTGCGAGACACAGGCTCGTCGACAGGCAGCCTCCTATCTCCAAATACCTGCCCCCGGCCATTTTTAGTGCTCCGATTGCGCATGGGGAGTGTGCGGTTCGGCGATTGTGGATTACTTCATGCCTGGGAGTGTGCTCGGCTAGTAGAATGCATAGTTTGCTTGCAGTGCATTTGCTAATTTAAAGATCTGACTATCACGCAAACTCGGACATTTTGTGGCGTCCCGTGTGCAGTCGGGGTGGACATGTGGAATGAATGGTTCGGGCCCGACAAAGGGAAAAGGGCGAGAGTGTACGCCTGTGGGGAAGGCGGTTTGCCCGTACTAGATAGAACGTTTCGGTGTTAAAAGTGCTCGGTGAATCGTTGCTTGCCTAGGAATATCATCATATACTTTGACAAGGGGCAGGTTGTGCAGACATGAGGTGAAAGGAAGCAAGAACGCTGGGGGGCGGGTTTGGATGGTGTGGAGGTAAGGGGTGGGTTAGGACAGGGTGTAAGAGGTGCTCACTTGTCCAAACATATAACTCAGAATATTTTCATAGTTCGAGTTGCGGCTCTCTGTTATGCCAAAGCTCTATGAATTGCCGTCCTTCACTTCGTGATTGCTTCACACGGCCCTCCTTGTGCGACAAATGTTAGATACTAGGGCGCATTGCCCGTGCGCAATTAATTGCAGCTTCCTCCACAAAGAGTGCCAAGTATGTTTGGCAGTCGGCCTGTCTGTTCTGGCACTTCCAATGCTTGCCACGGTGCACCTGGAGACCTGGATCTCGAACAGAGTTGGCTGGCGACTTGTGCAAGACGCTGGAGTCCTGAACCCAACGCTCTGTCATACAGCACTCAGATCATTGAGGCGCCGCCGATGCTGCTTTGCTTTGAAAATGTGCCGTGGAATGAATACGTAGACAGATTCCGGATAGGTATCTGATTCGCGGGAGGGGGGGGGGGGGGGGATGCGGTTGCCTTGCTATGTAGAGTTACGTAAGATACCTGTCCAACGGATCAGATTCAGGTCCCTTGTTTCGGGTCACATGCTCGTATTTCACATCGCTCGTGTGTAAAGTCTTCTACATTCAACAATCTACCCCTGTACCTCTGAACCTGTGAACCTCTGCTGGCAGATACCCCGTCCACAGGAAGTGGCCACAATTCTACATTGAAAGCCCACCGAAGCGTGCGCGCACAGCAACCTGCCCCTCTCGTCTCGAACGTTGTCGAAACTCGCAGACATGCTTGGTCTGCATGGTCACGACCGCTTGAACACGCTCTTCAACCTGATCAGCGCTGACTTTCTTGTGCTGGAAACACTGGATGCAGTTGTTCCTGCGAAGCGCTTCAGGTAGTCCGCCACGGCGCTGTGTCCGTTACGTTGAGCCCAGTCGAATGCCGTTTTTCCCGCCTTGTGACCAAAACAACGTCAGCGGTGCAACAATCTCGAAACCGCAGCATATTATACAGAAAAGCAGCGCCCTACTTCAGTTTGCATGCTTTGGTTTGCTTTTCCGCAACTCTGTGTACACAGTTCAGCAAAGGTCTTTGTCCAACCTCGGCACAAGGACAGCGTCCAAAGCAGAAGCAGAAGCTGGGAGCATAGGCAGAACGAGGTCGATGGCGCCGCTCTTCGCATCAAGTCACAAGCGTCAATAACGACAATGATCGTCCGCAAGTTTCGCCTTATCGGGCAAAACGCATGCCACGCCTTCCAAGATGGAGGATTACTTGCACCTCCACAAAAGCCAAAAGACAAAATACAAACACACAAGACAAAAGAACCGAGTGGGGTACCGCTTCCAGCCCACTCACGAGCAATACTGTGGTGTTCGGCGATCCATTGAAACATGAAACACTTCGCACGGATTCAACTGAAAATCCAGGCTTTGGCTTTCGAAGTTCAACTGAGTTCAGTTGATTCCTGAGCGGGTGGAGAAAGCATTTACACAGGCTTGGGAAAAGGACGTCGTTGTTGAAACGAGAAACCGCCTGCCCATTCCCTGAAGTACTTCCAAGCGGCTGCGCAAAACGTCTACAGCGTTTGGAGTACGCACTGAAAAAGGTAGCGTCCGCAGCTTTCCTGGTTTGCTTCAGAACGATAGGTATACCAAACACTCAGACCAATGGTGGAAACATTGTGGACACTGATCCTGTGCGCTATGCACGTCTGTTAGCTGTGTTAGCAGTGGCTCTAGACCTTTCCACACGTGTACAGAGCGATTCAGACACGTTTTCTCTTTCTGGCGGAGAATTGCGGAAGTGCAGGAGGCAGCGAACCAATGTTTACGTTCGCGCAAATAATACCTACTCAACGCGTGAGGCAAATTGGCCTAGTGTACCTTGTCCTTGATGCCTACAGTCGCGCCCTTGTCCACCAACAGTTCGACAACTAGCTGAAGGCCCTGTGATGCTGCCAGTATCAAAGGTGTAGAGCCATCCTGCATGCGCATCATTGCACATAATCTCACCAATAGCAATTGCAGCATTTGTCAGCAGCTTACAGTAAATGAGTTTCGCTACCAAAGCCTGAATTGTTTAGGAAAAGAGAGATGCCTCGGGGATGAGGCGGTGCTGGAAGTAATACATTGCAGTAGCACAAAATGTGCGACGATAAGTCTTTGTTGATGCAATATTCTCAGCTGATTTAGAGGACGTTGACAGTACGAAATTTGGCTCAAACAGTGAGGCAGGCAAATGTTAGAAAAGTATAAAAGTAACGCTACAGAAATGTCACAGTTCACTGGCTAAAAGTTTCCCTTCCTCCAAAATGTTCGGGTTTCAGAACATTTCATAGGAGCATGAGCGTAAGGCAGCAGCAAATGGACCAGGGAATCGTCATTCGAGCCAGTCATTTCATTCCCGGAAAATATTCTGCAAGGGTATCGAGGAGAAAAATCCCCAAACAGGACACATCCTTCCAAAGTGTAAAAAACGACTGTACGCCTGGACATGCAAGGCTCGAATTCAGTAGAAGAAAAATTCACAGATCATAAGTGGTAAACCATCTGGCATTTCAAGGCCGCATGTCACTGAAACAGGCACAGTTTCCGCCTTCAAGAGTTTTCTGGCTGCAAAAAAAGGTTACCGCCGACAACAATAAAGCTGTGCTGTTACCACAGCCCGTTCAACATGCTAACCGTCATGGTGGAACACATAATTATGTTATAACCGCGCCATTCTGTAGGAGGAACTCAACAACACTCTCGCTGCTGCCCAAACAGGCATAGTGGAGCACTATGTACCCGTCCTGTGCGTGTGAACAACAACCCCGTCCAAAACCACTCTCTTGCCAGAAATATCCACTCATGAACAAACGTTTCAAATGACAACCAAGCGACAATCCCATAAGGAACATAGCCAGGTTGCCCTGCCAAATAGTTTTTCAGACACACCACAATCTACTGGGAGAATGATGATCCAACACCGAAACAAACACTGGGGATTATCTTTTGAGGAGAGCGGTCCACAACCCAGCGCCGAGGCGGCACCCCGGCGGCAGCGGCGGCGGCGGCGGTGGCGGTGGCAGCGGTGGCGGCACCGGGCCCGGGCCGGCCCCGGTACGGCGCTGGCTGGCGGCGTGCTGCGACCCGGTACGGCACTGGCCGGCGGTGTACTGGGGCCAGGGTCCCGACTCACCCCTGTGGCCCAGCCGGCAGGCCCTAAGGCAGCCCCCCAGCCGGCAGAGGCGGGAGAGGCGGCGAGGGCGGCTGGGGCGGCAGAGGCGCCGGTCCCCAAGGCACCTTCCGGCCCGCCAATGTGGAGGTGGCGGGGGCTACCAGGGCGGCCGAGGCGGCGGTGGCGGTGGGCCCCAAGGCAACCCCCGGCTGACCGAGGCAGGGGAGGCGGCGGAGGCGGCGTGTGGCTGTGGGCCCCAAGGCAACCCCCAGCTCACTGAGGCTGGGGAGGCGGCGGGGGCGGCCGGGGCGGTGGGGCCCAAGGCAACCCGGGGCCCACGGCCCCGGCCGCCCCGGCCGCCCCCGCCCTTCCCCCGCCTCCTTCAGCCGGAAGGCAACCCCCGGCTGACCGAGGCGGGGGAGGCAGCGGGGGCGGCCAAGGCGGCGGGGGTGGCGGCGGCGGCGGGGCCCCAAGGCAACCCCCGGCTGACCGAGGCGGGGGAGGTGGCGGGGGCGGCCGAGGCGGCGGGCCCGCCGCCCACTCCGCCCCCGCCGCCCCTTCCGCCCCCGCCGCCCCTTCTGCCCCCGCCGCCCCTGCCGCCCCTGCCGCCCCTGCCGCCCCTGCCGCCCCTGCCGCCCCTGCCGCCCCTGCTGCCCCTGCCGCTGCCGCTCCCGCCGCCGCCGCCACCACCACTGCCGCCGCCACCTCGGCCGCCTCCCCCGCCTCAACTGCCAAGGCCGCACCATGACCGTGTGCCACGATGGGACGGGTGGCGCGAATGGGAGGCATTGACCAGGTGGCGTACCGGGTCCCAGTAAACGGCCGACCAGCTGAGACCCGGCAATGAACCGGGCGCGGTATGCCACCAGCCCGCAGCAAACCAGGCCCCGGTAGACTGCCGGCCGGTGGTGAGCCGGGGGCAGAACATTGCCGGTCGGCAAGAACCGGGGCCGGTCGCCGCCGTGGCGGACGGTTCCGGACTCCTCTGCTTTTGAACAGGCGATTTCGTTCCCGTGCAATGTTTTCTTAGACCAGCAGAGGAGAAAATCTACAAACGGGACAGAAGCAATGCAGAGTGCAAACGTAGCATAACACCTCCATCAGTAAGGGCTCGAGAAGTGTAGAAAAAGGATGCAACAGTTGATGCGCATGCCAAATGGAAAGGCTTTCTCAACACAATAGGCCCAACTACATCCCTTCAAGAGCACTGCTGCCGGCAACAATACAGCTGTGGTGCTTCCGCCACTCGTTCATTATGCTCACCGTCGTGGTGCAACCCACGTCCGCGCCATTCTGAAGGAGGAACTCAACAACGCTCTTGCTGCCGCCTCTTGCTGCAGAGTGGAGCACTGTGTACCCATCCTGTGCATGTGAACAACAAGCCCGTCCAAAACCGCTCTCTTGCCAGAAAAATCTACTCATGAACAAACGGTTCAAATGAGAACCAGGCAACAATCCCATATAGAACATAGCCAGGTTGCCCTGCCAGGTAGTTTTCCCGACACACCACATTCTACTGGGGGAAATGACGATCCAACACCGAAACAAACACTGGGGATTATCTTTTGAACAGGCGATTTCGTTCACGTGCAATGTTTTCTAAGACCACCAGGGGAGAAAATCTACAAACGGGACAAAAGCAATGCGTAGTGGAAACGTAGCACAACACCTCCATCAGTAGGGGCTCGATAACTGTAGAAAAAGGATGCAACCGTTGATGCGCATGCCAAATGGAAGGGCTTTCTCAACCCAGTAGGCCCAACTACATCCCTTCAAGAGCACTGCTGCCGGCAACAATACAGCTGTGTTGCCGCCGCCGCTCGTTCATTACGCTCACCGTCCTGGTGGAACCCACGTCCGCGCCATTCTGTAGGAGCAACTCAACAACGCTCTTGCTGCCGCCCAAACATGCGGAGTGCAGCACACTTTGCCCATCCTGTGCATGTGCACAACAAGCCCGTCCAAAACCGCTCTCTGGCCAGAAATATCTACTCATGAACAAACGGTTCAATTGAGAACCAAGCAACAATCGCATAAGGAACATAGGCAGGTGCCCTGCCAGGTAGTTTTCCAGACACACCACATTCTACTGGGGGAAATGACGATCCAACATCGAAACAAACACTGGGGAATGTCTTTTGAACAGGCAATTTCGTTCCCGTGCAATGTTTTCTAATAGCAGCAGGGGAGAATGTACACAAACGGGACAAAAACAATGCAGAGTGCAAACACAGCACAACACCTCCATCAGTAAGGGCTCGACAAGTGTAGGAAAAGGATGCAACAGTTGATCCCCATGCCAAATGGAAGGGCTTTCTCAACACAATAGGCCCAACTACATCCCTTCAAGAGCACTGCTGCCGGCAACAATACAGCTGTGGTGCTTCCGTCGCTCGTTCATTACGCTCACCGTCGTGGTGGAAACCACGTCCGCGCCATTCTGAAGGAGGAACTCAACAACACTCTTGCTGCCGCCTCTTGCTGCAGAGTGGAGCACTGTGTACCCATCCTGTGCATGTGAGCAAAAAGCCCGTCCAAAACCGCTCTCTTGCCAGAAATATCTACTCATGAACAAACGTTTCGAATGACAACCAAGCGACAATCCCACAAGGAACATACCCAGGTTGCCCTGCCAGGCAGTTCTCCAGACACACCACATTCTACTGGGAGAAATGACGATACAACACCGAAACAAACACTGGGGATTATATGTTGAGCAGGGGATTTCGTTCCCGTGCAATGTTTTCGAAGACCAGAAGGGGAAAAATCTTTCATCGGGTCAAAAGCAATGCAGAGTGGAAACGTAGCACAACACCTCCATCAGTAGGGGCTCGAGAAGTGTAGCGAAAAGATGCAACAGTTGATGCGCATGCCAAATGGAAGGGCTTTCTCAACACAATAGGCCCAACTACACCCCTTCAAGAGCACTGCTGCCGGCAACAATACAGCTGTGGTGCTTCCGTCGCTCGTTCATTACGCTCACCGTCCTGGTGGAACCCACGTCCGCGCCATTCTGAAGGAGGAACTCAACAACACTCTTGCTGCCGCCTCTTGCTGCAGAGTGGAGCACTGTGTACCCATCCTGTGCATGTGAGAAAAAAGCCCGTCCAAAACCGCTCTCTTGCCAGAAATATCTACTCGTGAACAAACGTTTCGACTGACAACCAAGCGACAATCCCATAAGGAACATAGCCAGGTTGCCCTGCCAGGCAGTTTTCCAGACACACGACATTCTACTGGGAGAAATGACGATACAACACCGAAACAAACACTGGGGATAATCTTTTGAACAGGCGATGTCGTTCCCGTGCAATGTTTTCGAAGACCAGCAGAGGAGAAAATCTATAAACGGGACAAAAGCAATGAGGAGTGCAAACGTAGCACAACACCTCCATCAGTAGGGGCTCGAGAAGTGTAGAGAAAGGATGCAACAGTTGATGCGCATGCCAAATGGAAGGGCTTTCTCAACCCAATAGGCCCAACTACATCCCTTCAAGAGCATTGCTGCCGGCAACAATACAGCTGTGTTGCTTCCGCCGCTCGTTCATTACGCTCACCGTCCTGGTGGAGCCCACATCCGCGCCATTCTGTAGGAGGAACTCAACAACACTCTTGCTGCCGCCTTGTGCTGCAGAATGGAGCACTGTCAACCCATCCTGTGCATGTGAACAACAAGCCCGTCCAAAACCGCTCTCTTGCCAGAAAAATCTACTCATGAACAAACGTTTCAAATGACAGTCAAGCGACAATCCCATAAGGAACATAGCCAGGTTTCCCTGCCAGGCAGTTTTCCAGACACACGACATTCTACTGGGAGAAATGACGATTCAACACCGAAACAAACACTGGGGATTATCTTTTGAACAGGCGA